CCAGAATAAGACTCTCTCTCTCTCTCTCTCTCTCTCTCTCTCTCTCTCTCTCTCTCTCTCTCTCTCCATCTGGAAGACAAGAGGCTTTGTGAACAACATTGATAAAGCTCCAGAGGCTTTAGTCTTCGTCTGACCCATCATACTCCTCGTACTTCACGACCAGTCGATTGACCAGATCGCGCCGCAGTTTCTCCGCCATGGCATCGCTGCTGCTGCTTCCATCCCCATCCGTTCCCGTCGACAAATTCACACCCGCCTGCATCAATCCAAAGGCAACCTCTGCGAACCACATTTCAAGCATGCTGGATTGTCAGATAGGCTTCTAGAAAAAAAGGGTGGGAACAAAAAATCATTGGGTCTCGTTTAGGATTTCTGCATCGTTAAACTATTCCTCAACACCGAGTCCTTGGGAAAAAAAAAAAAAAAAAAAAAAGAGAGAGTGAAAACGCTCTGAGTACTAGCCCTAAAAAATTTGGGATTGCCCAGCCAAATCTTCCTTGATTTAAAAAAAAAAAAGAAGATATCATCTTTAAACTGCCTGGCCCCAGATAAATTCGGAGTTATTTTCACTCGTCTGTTTCCACTGGGATTCGAGCTCAGGTCTGCGTTTCAATGGGACGGTGGGCCCTGTTCCCAACACGTGCTGCTCCCCACAAATAATAGACTGGAGCATGTCTTTCACTTTGAAAAAAAAAAAAAAAAAAAAAAAAAAAAAAGGGATCCACGCTGCAACAGTTGGTGGGTCTACGGACTGAGCTATAGGCCAGTTGGTAATCTTCGCTGATTTCAAAGGAACCTCACCAAGGTTCATTAAAGTTGCCTTTTCTTTTTTTTCTTTTTTTTCCTTTTTTTTTCTTTTTTTTTTTTGAAGAAGCAGCATTCTTGCTGCTAGGGAGGCTTCTTACGAGCACACCCCCCTAGCGGTCATCCTGGATGCTCCGGTCTATTGAAGTTGCCTTGAAATTTCAGCGACCCCATTTCATGGAGTGGAGAGGGCACATTTCGGATCTGGATAGTGGCAGCGCGCTATTGGCCAACAGCCTGAGCTGCGACTCTTTTTTTTTGTTTTTAATCGACAACTTTCTACGTTTTTTTTTATTTTTTTTATTTTTTATATCGACAACTTTCTACGGAATCGCCCCATTCCAAGGGACAACCAGAGGTAGCTGTTGGGACGACGCTGGTCCGAGCTGGGGCGAGTCGTGTTGCTCTGTAACCTAGCCGGGTCGGGGTGTGAGGCCTGGGAGAGCTCAACAGGGAATAAGACAGTGTTGGACAGTTTTAGAGAGTTTTGTTTGGGAGTCTATAGGGGTTCTGAGCATTCGAAAAGAGGTCAGTAGTCATTCATAGTTTTTTAACATCTCCTTTAATTCTCTTGAATTTTCATAGTTCTCAGATTGATTCTCAGCTGAAGCCGGGTAATGGCCCCGGTACCTTAAAAAAAAAAGAAAAAAAAAAAAGAAAGAAAAAAAGAACGGATTTCTTAGGAATAGTACAACCAGGACACTGAAAATTCTAAAATTTTGTAAGGAGTACTGTGCTCACCCGAATACATCGTACGGTCATTACAGCTGTGTATATGGGGCAACTTTCAGTCTAGATACAGCAAATACAGCTGTGTATATGGGGCAACTTTCAGTCTAGATACAGCAATTATGACCGTATGTTTTGTATTCGGGTGAAAAAAAAAAAAAAAACCCGGTGAACCATAGGCAGAAAGGGAGAAAAGAAWACCAAACCAGGGGCTGTGACAAACTATTTCTTTGCAATTCCACTGACTCATAAGGAGGCTGAACCCACAGTTGCCGGGGGAGGGAGGGGAAAAGGGGGGAGGCACGCCACACCAACCCAGTGTAAACATTGTAAAGTTTTTTCTCCAAGAAAACATAAGAGAGAGCGAGTAAGCGAGAGAGCGAGAGAGCGAGAGCGAGAGAGCGAGAGAGCGAGAGCGAGCGAGCGAGCGAGAGAGAGAGAGAGAGAGAAGCGAGAGCGAGTGAGCGTGAGAGCGAGCGAGCGAGAGAGAGAGAGAGAGAGAGAGAGAGAGAGAGAGAGAGAGAGAGAGAGAGAGAGAGAGAGAGA